ATTTAAATACTTTATATTTACATCGAGGGGACCCTCTCTATGGAGGCTGCCATGTTTTTTACATTAGTCCAGACTGAACAAACTAAACACCTTTTGAGTTTTTAAAGGCTACAACAGGTTCTTCTTAACGTTTGGAAGGGGAGGGTGAGGTGAGGGGTGTTCAGCTGCAACATGCAATTTCAACACTAGATATCACAAAATTCTACACACTGAACCTTTAATGAACAGGATTTGTCGGTCATTTCATTTCAATAATTTCAACCATCATTTGCTGAATGAGAGACTGAGACACCCACACAGGTCAGAATGGAATCCCATGTGACCGTCAAATCAATCCTGACCAAATTGACGGTATTAAAATGTAAAAAATTTAATTTTATTAGTCTTAGCGACATACTTGTCACACAGTGTCTAGTTTTGGCTTTGCTAACACCATCTGCTGTCAGTCAGGATTCCCTGAGTGAAAAAAGGGTGTGTGTGTGTGTGTCCTCAGATGTTCATGTGCGAGTGCTTTGTGACTCCTTAAGGCTCACACTAAGTAGGCCACTTCTCCACACCTCAAAGGGGAAACATAAAGTGCGTAAATAACCTGTCATTGTCATGAAGAAGTCAGTTTGCTTTTGTCCAACAAGATAATAGCAAGAGGACAGAGGACGGGGTGAGAGAGCGGAAGAGAGGAAGAGAGAGAGAGAGAGAAAAAGAGAGAGAGAGCCCTGGGTGCCTGACCTGACTCGGTTATGTAAACAAAATAAGTGTAGTGAAAGCAGCAGCAGCGAACAACAGGGAACATTGCCTAATGAGCGATGGCATATATAGAGAGAGCAGTAGAGTGTGTATGTGTGAGTGTGTGTTTTCGCAATGACCCGCATGCTTGTTCCTCATTTGATTTTTTAATTGGACCGATTTTTCAGCTAGCTCTCCAAATTAAAAAGGCAACCATGACACATGTGACGCTTATATGTTCCGCCCAGCTCCCTCCTCCTCTTCCCATCCTGTCATCTGTTCGGTGCTGATAAAACTGTAGGATTTGTTACAGATGTAGCCAGAAAGGTTTCAACTGAGGATTTGCATTTTTTATGTTGCATGAGACATCAGACAATTGCGATTTTTGTTTACGGGTGGCTAAACCATCAAATCTTTATTGTATTGTTTTTCTAGCTTTTGATTTCAAAGTTGACTGAAAACTTTTTATGAAAATATCTGAAAAAAGCACAACTGGAAGCTTCTTGCTTGCAAAAAGGATTTTGATGTTGCTGTGAATGAAGCAGCCTTCTTGTTTCCATTAATGGTTCTAGTTTTGCCTTTCCTGTTTTGTCCCTGCTACTGTTTCTTTACGATTACAGCCCTGCTCATAACAGGAGCAGAAACCAGTCAGTGAACAAAGAACAACTCCAGCACTCATTTCACCGAGACACAGTGCACACACACACACACACACACACACACACAACTACAGAAAAACACACAGTGAAGAAACTACCATTTCCATTACAGAACCTAAAAACACATTTTACTTTCATCTCTCGTCCACTCACTTAGGAGCACTAATGGCCATAAAATTCTTTCTCAAGGATGCTTCACTTTCTATTAAATTCAGCAGCATTTCTTCCTCTGTGACTCTACTGTCCCACAGGACACGCTGTGCCAGTGTACTGACTGAGGGGGTTGATGCTAAAGGCTATAAAACTTGGGAACCTTGTTGGTGATTCATGAGAACTGCTGAGGACAGAATTAACAAAACAATTTAGATACTGAAAGCATATGAGAATATAAACTGTATATCCTGTATGACGGAGAATCTTGTGTGTACATGTCAGTGTGAGATGTTGAAAAATTTGATCACTAGTCATAAATGTTGCTTTTCTCTTCTCCTTCTGTTTCCATCTCTTTGTCTTCTATGAATCTCTGCCTCCCTCCATTCTTCTGACCTTTTAATCCTTTTCTATATGTTCTCTGTGTAAGTGTCTCTGTTTAATACTCTCCCTCTGCAGGATTTCCATACAGTACCAAAGCAGTGGACAGTCTCGCCTTTCCCTGCCTTGATCTCAGATAGAGCGGAGACTAAGTGGCAGAGGGCGACTTGGAGACTGCACTGAAACAGTAGATGTACAGACTGGATCAATCACACAGTGTTATAAGTTATAAAATGATACTTTGCATTTATTTAAATACTAGAAGAAAATTACAGCAAGAGATGTGTGTTCATTTACTGCACGCTTACAGCAATGCTACTTCCTTTTAGAGAAAATAATGTGCAGTTATATTCTTTAGGCTAAAATGTATAATATAAAACTATGAAAAGGTAATTACAAACACATTGGTCAATTTAGTTAAGAGGAACTGCATCTCCTCACTGGATTCTTAGAAAATATCATCATATCATGAAAATGACATCAACCACTCTTGGACATGTTGGACACATAGACTGTATATAAAGAGGTTGGACACCACTGAAAGTAAATGGTAATGGTCTGTGTTTATGTAGCCCTTTTCTAGGCTTGATTGCCACTCAAAGAACTTTACAGTACAGTGTTTTCCATTCCCCCATTCACATTGTGCAGCACTTTCTCTATAACTCATCACTCACACTCACACTCTGCAGACGCAGTCATCAGGGGCAATCTGGAGTTTAGCATCTTGCCCAAAGACACTTGAGCTCATGGAATAGAGGATCGAACTACCAACCCTCTGGTTAGTGGAGGACTGGCTCTACCTCCTGAGCCACAGCTGCCCAAAAAAAAGCTGGAGTGCAGAAAAAAAACCTAAAAGAAACCCAGACCTGAGATAACACTGGGAGTGTTAACCTGCTGGAGTCGTGTTTCTGTCCACTTCATTAATAAGTTCAGCTCCCCCTTCTCTTCAGCTTTGGTTTTATCCAGCTACAAATTCTGGGTCTCTTTGGAGCTAAGTTTGACGCCTCAAGGTACAGGTAGTCATTTAATTCACTTCTAAAATAATTGCTTACTGGACCTTTAGAGACTACTCATTCTTCACACCAGCATATAAAACGGATGGACTTTGGACCTGAGTCAGTAAATAAAAAAGAAACAGTTGGACTCACCTCCATGAACACAGTCGTGTAGTGTGCAGTCAGAGGGGCCCACCAGATGGATCAGACTGGACTGGCTGAAACCCACAGTGTGCTGCTCTGCAGTGCAAAACACACAAACACCCCAAAAAACTTAACGAGTGTATATTTGGCCCAAACAAGCCAACACAGACTAACACTTGATGCTTCCACACATGAACTGACATGCAGCATGCTCAACAACATATCATACCTTTTGTTGGATCCTCTGCGGTTGCACAAAGATGACAAATAACTTTAAGTTAATAACTTTATTAACATGATGACTGAAAACTTTTGCACAGCAATAAAGCACATTTGAAAAAAAAAATTGGAAGTGTTTTCTTGTATTTCCAACATATGTTGAAGTTGCAACGTTGCAATAATGGATTGCACATTAAATACTGAAAGCATGAGGGATTTTTTCATTACGCTACAGAAATAAGTTACTTTTATTAAATCAGTATTTTGCAATAATATTTCACTGTAATTACAGTGTTTCAACAACTGCAAAATCTTCAATCTATGAGGGAGTTAAAAGCATAATCCATAACTTCAGATTTCTGTTGATGTTGTATGTTTGTGTTTGGAGCCTTTAAGGGTACAGGATATTACCTGGGTTGGATGGAGGTGACACCACGTCTTTAATCCTTGTTTTAGTCTCCAGTCTCTCCAGCTTCTGAGCCTCGTAGCGCTTTTTGCCCTCCTCTGCTTGCTCTGCACTGGCATACTACAGAACACATTTACACATCCATTAAACACCTGTCCCTGCATGGCTATATATAAAACTATTTTAATACACTGGGTTTCAAGAGAAACAAGAGGAGCACATAGGACCTTTTCGCAGTGTTACATGTCATTTTTATTTTGACCCAATGGATTTGCTGCCCTCCACCTCCCGTGTAATTTCTCATACATATGGAGGAAAGAGAGTCTGATGAAGAGAGGACAGCTGACAGGTAAAATGCCAAAAATCTGTCTGCTAAGGTCAGAATGGATGTACCTTGATAGGCGGCACCTCCATAATCTTGTCGACATTCTTCAGAGAGACGGGAACGTACCACAGCGCAGCCTTGTTGGACAGCTTCATTGCACCTGCAGTCACAGAGAAAAAAGGATTAATTATTTTTCCCAGGAAAATGTCAGCGTGGAGTCTGCTACCAACTAAATTGACATGTTTTTGATGTTTGATGTTTCTTTTGAAGAAAACAACAATGGAGCAAACCATTTAGAAACTGCTGTTGTCAAAGCAGACACTTGTTAACACAAACCAAATTTTACAAAGCAACTGGTGCTGTCCAAACATTAGACATTCTCTTGCAGACAAAGGGACAGAATACAATTGAGGAAAATATTCAAAGACAATAATTCATGTTTTGTTCAAGCTTAACTTGTTAAGGAGGTTTGCAGATTGTTTAGCCTGATCTTTATCAATCCCAAACTATCTGCATTTGTATAATGTAAATATAAAATGGGTGGAATATGAATTCACTCATTAAAATTGTTGTGACATTCATTGTTTTGCTGTTTGACACATTATTATTAGAGGTGTTGTCTTCTGTGACAATTAAAATGGTTTTCATGAGCACTTTTTCAAAAACGAATCACAAGAGTCTGTCAAATGAAAACAAAAAATCCAGATTTCACACAATAGGACATCTTTCATTCAGTCCATCAAAACAACTACCAGCAAACATGGATATATGTGTGTTATATTGTTTTGTCAATAGCAGCTTCATTTTTTCCTTGTTCTGTTCCCAAACTCCAATGAGAAAGGATAAAGAGAATTACTGAATAAACCTGTGCATTAATGGATATTAAGTAAAATTATTACCACCACCAAAGAGCTTATGTTTTCATCCGTAGTTACAGAAGTATAGCAGATTGCAAGATTATGCAAAAAACGTTAAAACCTATTAAACAATCAATTTTTATTGGGGGTGGGAGTCAGAGAAGAGAGAACCCATCCAATTTCTGGATCCAGATCAGGTGGATCCAGGATTTTGTTTTTTACTATCTTCAACATGGTAAGCTAGAGCGTTAACCTTGGCAGACCTATATGCTCTCCAAGTTCTAGTTTGTTTATTAGTTAGTTTGTTTATTTGTCAGCAGGATTACCAAAAACGACTCAACATATTTTCATTAAATTTGGAACTGTTGGGCCCAGCCCTTTTTGGGTCAATATGATAGAAAAACACTGACATTAACATTTTATCCATTAGATCCAATAGATTTTTCACCTTATAGATCATAAAATATTGAGGGCGTTGGAGGCTGCAGCATGAGCTCTTCCTTCCGACAGAAAGTTAAGAACCATAAGATAAAAGTATGAAACTTGTGGAAATCACATCTCATAGCAATCAGGCGGAGAGGTTGTCATAGTAATATCTGCTCGGTTCTGCCTACACTTTTTCACTTAATTCCCTAACAGAGAGAGGGGGGCTATTTTGAGGTTGTGTTGTTATGGCATGCAAGGGAGACGCAGAGATTAAAGACAGCACAGGGCCATCAGGTTGAAATGAAATCACAGCCTGTATAGGTGAAAGGCTTCTTACTTGAGGCTGCACCATCTGATTAACTGCGAGGGGAGTTTCACTGGGATGGATGGTTTACAAAATTAAAGCTGTATATACATGTGCAGTGCATCAACATGGAGAAAAAATAAAAGTAGGACACATCATACATAAAAAATAATGAAATGAAAAAAGGAGAATTGGGGTGTCACTGTGACTGAGACTTTGCCACAGGAAATGTGAAGTTAAAGGAAGACTGAGGGAGTAGCAGGCTAGTCGTCGTGGATAACATCTGCATTTTACACCCAAGTTAAAATCATGCAGACAGTCGAGCCGCGTTACCATGCCGACCGCACTTCTCTCCTCCTCCTCCTCCTTTCATTGGCTCCCACCCTTGCCAGCAACCAGGAAGTTGCCCACAGGAGAAAGGGAGGCATATTTACATATCCTTGACTCTACCAAGACTGAGTGACTATTATTAGTTCCTGCTGGACCCTTTAAGTGAACTGTGTTTAGGATGGAGGGAAGAAGAGGAGGAGTGAGAAAGAGAGAAAGAAAGAGAGACAAAGACTGGAGGGTGAAGCACTGGAATGAACCGGCCAGCTAAGAACCATTCCCAGTCTGACTGATAACCTTTTTTGACCAGATAGTAACGTGGGCTCTGGATTTAAATTTGAAATCCCTCTGTATCAAATGAAGACAATGTCAGTGTTTGATCATGTTATCGCCTGCACCCTTATTACCTTCACACTACTTAAACTTCACAGTATCATGCAAGTTGTTAAGGGGAAACAAACTGTGTCTAAATTCACCTTAAAACTGTAACATGTAGAATAGGTTTGTTGTTCATATTGGTTTCTATGTGACTATGTGGTTTATAAGTGATTGTGGAGAACAAAAATAAGCCACAATGGAGGAGGTGCAACTAAAAATGGGGACAGCTGGCTTACTTAGTTAGCATTAATGAATTGTGTGAATGGGATAAGAATAAGAATTTGGCTGTGACCACACTGAACACAAGCTCCAAATCTGCTCAGTCAGATTTCCACACCCTGGCACAATGCTGAAGAAACACACCAAAAACATAGTGACTTCATGGATCATGGTTTGTCTAGTTTCTCTAAGCTTTAAAACCAGGAGCTCCATGAATATAAGACGGAAATGTGGATGTTCTGATGACAGGTACTTGGCAGTGCAAGGTATGACAGATTTGCAGAAGTGCAATGAGGGCATGAACTTACAAGAAGAAACCTGCATGTGAGCAGGATATTACACATCAGATAGTCCAACTGACATCTCTTCGCTAATTTTACAGGAATATATTGTCAGCAAACAGAAAGCACTTTGACATAAGAAGTAATAAAACATAATGATGTAAGCATAGCAACAATGGAAAGCACAGGCACATAAAATCTGGCAGTAAAATGAGGAATAGGAAAAATCTGATTTGTCTGACAGTTAATACGTCAACCCCAAAAATATTATACTTTCCACCGATCACAGCAAATCAGGTATCAACACAAAGCAGCAGCAGCCAAACCAGCAGAATGTTTTACAGCACACTCTTGAGTCACAGGTGCTGATCTCAGTCATAGCAACAGCATTTATAGAATCATTTCCTGTTTGGTGATTTGTCTTCGAATTTAAAGGACATTGTTCGTTTTGTAGCTGCAATGATTTATTATAAGTGTTTTATTTTGAAAAGTTGTGAACTTGCGTATGAACATTTTGTCGATTGCATAACAGGCCTATTGAACTTATATAAAAGTCAAATATGTGAATAGTAATAAAGCAATTTCAGCCGCATTTTATGAAAAGCATTGACTATCGTCACTGCAGACAAACCAGGCAGGATGAACAAAGTTTTGTTACTTTACACTGCACCACAGACTTTAAATGATAAGCTCTGCACACAACATCCAGTGTGGAGACAATAACAAGTGACAGTATATGGTAGAACTGTTTAAGGAGGAGTCACTCATGAGGAATCATTCCGAAGGAGTTCTGGAGCATTAACACAGGACAAGAGAACAGTCCATTCCAAACAGGCTGCAGATTTCATTATAAATTAAAGCATTTTGTGGGGGGGGTGATATGAGTATGGGAGCTCAAGAGGAAAGTCTTTGTTTATTCTTCGTCCTGTCCCCTTAAATCTAAGCTTAAGGCATCAATCATGACTTCATGCTGGTCTTGAAAAATCCTAAATGCAAAATGTCTGTTATCACTCAAAAGAATACCAAACCTGAGCCTACCCTGCTCTAAGATCTTTAAAATAAAATCTTCTTGTTCCTCTCCCTCTCTTTTTGCTCCATCCTCTTTCTGTGCACCCCACCCGGATCCATTTCTTTTACCTCAAGCAGTTTCACTTGATTTATTGCAGCCTTTTACTCGTTCACCCCTCTGCTCTCCCCTTCGTCTCTTACCCACTATACCCTTCATTCTTCCTCCGGAGCAAAAAAAACTCCTTCTCCTTCCTGAACAGCGTGTTCCAGGCTCAGAGACAGTGCAGAGAGATTCATCCTCAGTGCTTGATCTCTGTGATCAAAACCACATTTTCCACTGTGCTGAGCCAAGGCTCCATTAGTTTTAACTACATTACAGTTGCACTGTGGGATGTTACAGCCTGATAGGGAGAAATTAAATCATGACAGGAGTTGAGTTTTGTGACAGAGCTTTCTGACAGAAACTATCAACATTAGGGTTTATTTAAGTTTATGAGACTCAGCGGTGAATATTGATTTAGTGAGCACCTCACTTTTTAAACATGAAAATATAAAAATGGGAAAACAAAAACTCCACAGTTGACATGTTGCAGAGTGACTCTAAATAAACAGTAGTCTGTTGTGCTTAGTATGAGAGGAGTGTTGTCTATCCAGTTCTAGACCTCAGATCTGCCCTCAGGTCCTTTTCTCTGCTACAAAAGTCATCCTAGCCTCAAATGTTGCTGTTGGTGTTACTGATTCGATGAATGTACACGTCTTTAATAAAGCATGAATAATCTTTTTTAAGTGCAAAAGGAAACAATTATTATATGTTATTTATCATCTTAAAAGGTTGTGTGTGTGTGTGTGTCTGTGTGTGTCTGTGTGTGTGTGTGTATTCCTACAACACTGCGTTGCAGTTGTGTGACCCACCAGGATCATGGCAGGAACTGTCATGCTTATTTTAAGCCTCAACCCACAATGCATTGCTCTCAGCTCTGTCTATGCATGCGTGTGTGTGTTGAGGGGGCACGATCTGTCTATGCCGTCTTTATGCAAATCTGCGCCTGAGTGTGCATGCGATACAAGCATTATTACCTCTGTGAGAATTCTGCTTGTGTGTGTTTGTTCAAAGTGTAACTGCGCTATTCATACATTAACGTTTTTTTCTCTTCACATCTGCAGATCTTGATGAATGCGTGTGTGCATGTGTGTGCGTAAGTGTAAAGTCTATCTATATGTATCCTGTTGCATCTGTGTGCAGTATGCAGTTTTCCCAGATACTCAGTGTAAGTGTACTGTACTTACATGCATGTTTGAACAAATATAGGTATATGCAAATCTCTTTGAGCTGTTGTGTGTTGGTCTCTTTGTGAGTGCGGATGTGTAGTACATTTGTGCGCATGTGCATTCCCCCCAGCGGGGACAATCATCACGGCTCGTGCCCACAGTAGGCAGCCTTCCCCTGGGGGGCCGTGACTGAGGACTGCCTGACGAGATGCTGCCTGACTGACTGTGGAACCTGGATTCTTGCCTCCTCCCCCAACACACACACACACACACACACACACACACACACACACACGAAATAAACATGAATGTATAAATACAAACACGCATGCTCAGAGTGTGATATACTGTCACAGACCCATGCACACTTACATATGAATAAAGCTGTAAAAGCATGCATGGCTACACATACACTCAACCTCTAACGTACATAAACATGCACTCACACTAAATATCATATTCTAGAGCCAAAGAATAACAATCTTTCCTGAGCAAAAGTGCAGCCAGGAACATGTGACACCAGTCAGTCCTGCCTCAGTATGAGAATTAGTGTAGAAGGAAGTGTGTGAGTGTGTGTGTGTGTGTGTGTGTGTGTGCGTGCGTGCGTGCGTGCGTGCGTGCGTGCGTGCGTGCGTGCGTGCGTGCGTGCGTGCGTGCGTGCGTGCCTGTGTGCGTGCATGCATGAGAGAGAGAGAGAGAGAATGTGTAGATGTATGACTTTTCTGTGCAGAACGTGTCAGTATGTGCAGATCAGGCTGCACATGCACAGATCGTTCCTACACAACCACATGTCTCAGGGAGTCGGGTACGTGCGTACGTCGTGTCAGAGCATGTGTGCAGGTACATCCTCTTGGTGTTTGTATCTGACTGGGCCACAGTGTGTGAGGCCTGACGCTAAGACGACATGACAGAAGCAAATAATGTCTGCTCCCGTTATCTTCTCTTCCCCCTCGGCCCTGCAGGAACCTTTTAAAGGGCCAAACACTGATGAAAACACATATATCTATGCACACACATGCATGTATACAATACAGTGCATACACATACTGTAGTACACACATAAAGACACAAACATGCATCTAGGTGCAAAGTGGAAAACACATGTAACCTCTGCTTTTTCTCAATTATTGACATTTAAATTAGCTCCTGTACAAATTCACATTCTAAAACCTAAATACGTAACAAATCAACACATGCTCAGCCATTCATTTACATGGACAAGCCAACTGAGGTTTAGATAAAAATAAATCTATAGAAACTGAGACGTCCATACGTATATAATGAATAACAGCTGTGTCAACTCAAATGCAACCAAACATACATTTTCACACATATGACCTACATCCCATAGCTATGAACTAATAGACCACCAGGCTGCAGCCTCCTCTGGCTCTCCTTTAATGTCAACGCTGCCTGTGTGTGTGCCTGACTTGAGGACACAAAGTCATCCGCTCACTCCACACAGAACTGGAGAATATTCCTTTGAAAATCGTATTCTATTCTCTCAAAGTGGTATGCAAGTTTTTTTTTTGTATTTTTAGACTAAAAAATGATGCCATTTAATCTTAATCAGGGTGAAGGCAGAGTTTATACATATCATTTGGGCTATTACGTTGGCAAATCCCATCACAGATGTTGTGGTTGGCCCATGCAGCCTCCAGAGAGCTCGAAAGGGAAGTTTTGTCCTCCCAGAGGAACTCACCTCGGCGCCTGCTCTCGACATAAGCATGAGCTCCTCATCTTCATTACACCCACACTGCCCTGACAGTGAACCTGCACCTAGACTTCAGAACTGTTTACTGCTCTTTGAGCTCTGACACGCAAAGCTGTGCAATTATGGAAGTGGAAAAGTTTGTTAAATCTAATAATTACTGAAACTACCATACAGAGCTTCAGTAATTAGAGAGCAGTTTCAGAGCAGCTTTTCTAGTGTTGATGTCCTCTCAATGCGTTTCACAGTACAGTTTTGCCATTCAACCATTGATGCACAATATTACAATGTGCTTCAATGTGCAGCGATTTCTCTATCAATCGCACACTGTCTGCACAGCCATCAGGGGCACTCTGGGGTTCAATATCTTTGACATGCAGAATTAAAAAAGTGGACGAGCCACTCTACCTTCTGAGTCACAGCCGCCAACAATAACTACGTGCCAAAAATGTATGTTAATTAACAAAAAAAAGAAAATGAAATTAACGTCTTGGAAAATAACAGTTTGCAACACTATGAGAAGTGCCTTCAGTGTATTCCCTCCATCAGCTCTCTTCCTGACTGAGGTCCTTCCTGGCAGGGCCACCTACTATAGTGGGCTGCCTGTGAAGATGCCTGTATGTACATCCGCTTCTCTCCACCTGTCATCTCATATCACTGCCTCCGCCTCCGTCAACCTGCTTCCAGCCCAGCAACCAGCCAACCAACCAGTATAAGCCTGTTGCTAGGGCAACGGCTGTCTAGGGGATACTTCTTTTGTTTCTCACACCTCCTTTCCTCCATGCTTTTTTCCGTCTCTTCCGTACTCTCAATCTTGCTTCCTCTTTCAATCTCTCAGCTGTCTTTCTGCCCATTGATATGTCTGACTACTTATCTCCTCCCATTTGTCTTCCTGTCTCACTTCCATATCCCTCGTTCTTTCTCTATACGTCACTCTCTCGGATCTTCTGAAATGGAAGAGGGACATTTTGCTTTAATCAAACTCCCTCTTCATTTCGAATTCATAAAAACAAATAAAAACAACACAGAATCCAGTGAGCTTTACTGTTGTTCATCTCAAGAAACTGCACATGTTGCAGAACTTCAATGATATGTTGCATGTGTCTATCTTTGCATGTATTACTAGGTATATGCAGCGTCTATCCAACCTGGATGTGAACTAAAGAAGTTCCAGTACAGCACGTGACATTTGGTTGTTTCAGGCAGCTTGTGAATTTCTGTTGCTTCTGGCATTTAAAGGTTCAGAGACAACGCTAGGTCAGCACAATGTGATCCTCCCTGTGTCTTTAGTGAAGGGACTCTGGGTAGCATGTGTGTGTGTGTGTGTGTGTGTGTGTGCGTGCGTGCGTGTGTGTGTGTGCATGTGTCTGCATACATAATGTATGTTTCTGCTTGCTTTGTTATGTACATGGCACACAATAAAGGTGCACAAATCTTAGTAATTAACAAGACACACAGACTGCATCACTCAGCCAACACGACTCTGAGTTTCTATTCCCGTGTCTCAGCTCTAAATGCAGCTCCTCCTGTAAAGTGCTTGTAATCCATCATGCTGCTCTGAGCTGCTTTACTTATCGTATGCTGCCCTCCACTGATCAAATGGCAGAATATCACAGTTATGTAGTTGAATTATATTTTTCAAAGTGACTCACTCGCTAAGTTCTGGCTACCATCTCTGCTTCAAGAGTGTGCATCTCCCTGGTCATGTCCAAATGATTGGATGAATGTATTACAGTTCTGCGAGGGCCACATCAGCAGCTTTTTTTCCACGTAATTTCAGAAAAAGCATGTATGAATAATAAAAAAATAGTGATTGAATTTTATCCTGGTGCTACTGTTGGCGAAAACTGTCCCACTGTCATGTCTTACAGAGACAGATGGTTATTGTTTTTTGGAACACCTGTGGTTAGTGTCTGCTATAAGTTCCTCTCAGACAAAGGTTATTCAGCAACATAACTTCTGTTTTCATTAGTAGGAATCTCCCCTGATGTTGATCCTTAGATTTAAAAAAACCTATAGCAGCTTCAACGTGATTTCCACAAAGCAAAATCATTGACTCAACGCATGTGTAACATTATAACTATACAAACTAAATTTTAATGATTTACTTTGAATGAAATTATTCATTTATTATCAGATAGTTAAAGCAATACCTGAACTTTACTATGTTGTACACTGTAAGTGCCTGTTTTTACATTTCCAAATAAGTCACCTGTGAGGATGTTCTCAGCCATAACTTGGACCTGCACCTCCAGTGAGTGCTTGGAGGTGTACGTGATCTCAGCCGTGACGTGGGCGACCTCGCCGATGAACACAGGGGACAGGAACTCTGTCTTCTCCACCCGAACCAGAGCTGCCAAACAGCGGTCCTGGCGAAGAGAAACAGCAAACCTCCAAGCTTCAAGGAATGTCATGCACAAATTCACCACGAAAATGTCTTTTTTAAAAGATGCAATTTAGTAAACAATGACTTTCATCACCCTCAATTCTACGACCTGTGGTTGCAGTGTTGCCAGTGATCACAGCGTGCACATGTGATGGTTTCTATTGGGGTATATGATCGAATCTCCCTGGAGTAATGCCTGCTCGTTTGTCCTTGTGAACTCTGTTGTTTTCTCTTTTTTCATAGTAGCCATCCCATTTGAATAAACATGTAGTTGTGAACTGAAGTACGTCGCCTGCTCTTCTTTAGCTCCTGCAATTTCATTGTGTCCACGATCAGGTTGTTGAGGTTGTAGGGGCAAACCCAGGTAAAAACCTCTTAATCTTATTCATCAACATTTGTTCATACTGTCAGATTAGTTAAAGGAACCATGATGTCTGTAAAAGATATATCCCTTGTGCACAAAATATGTGATGACTGAGGAAACTCAGTTCTTGGTATGGCATACCAGAAAATGCAATAGCTTAGTAAACACATTGTGATGTAACATGCTACAGATTTTTTATGAAAGGTATCCTATAGTTCCGCATTTTTACATATCAGATTTAAAAGCTGTACTATAAGACTTTGCCATATTCTATCTATTCAGCAGTTCTAAAAGCTTTTCAGCTCTAATGACACTGTGAAAGAAAAACAAAACCTTTGGTTGATTTTAATTTTTCCCAATTTAAGGTTAATATGGGCTATTGAGCAGTTCATTTCATTGAGCAGTTCATTTCTACAGTTCAGACGACTATGTACATATGTTCTTCCATGATGACCCTTGTCCTCGTCTCTCACCCCGTTCTGTGTGTTGCAGTGTCGTGTGCCAATGATGCAACCAGCTTCCTCGATCATCTTGAGGATAGTGCCGCCATGGACGTTGCCCATGATGTTGGCGTCATCTGGCCGCATGATCCTGCAGTAAAGAGGAGATGTATTAAGATTAACCGAGTGATCTGATGAATGGTAGGTTTAACACGTGTTATTAGCATCATGTGTTATGACAGCATCCTGTTTCACATATTTTATTTTTAGTTTCCAGAGAGAGAGAGAGAAATTTCTTCTTATGGAAGATAAGACATCCAGACACAAACAGAACAATGTGGATTATGCAGGGCTTTGTAACAAGGATTGCTCAGACGTTGCGGAATAAAACAATCAGTACATAAACAGATGGCCCAGCATAGGTGCACCACTTCATCAGGCCTGTACTCAGCAGTTTATTTATATAAATCAAGGACAAGGGACACTCTTTTGAGGATGGTAATGGAACGAATTTTAGCCAGAGAAGGCAGATGGTTTGAAAGAGGGGTGAAAGAAGCCATCTTTGTCAAACTGGGAAAACCATCAGTCAACTTAATAGTTAATTGTTTAAGACACCAACTATCAACCACCTACAATGTTGTCCAGGATTCTCTCCCCAGACAGCTCAGTATCCCACCTCAACTCCAGTGACGCTAATGACCCAAAATCTGGGAGGGTCTACAACTCACAGGTATCAACAGACCCACAGAGGTTAAATACATGAAAACCTTCCACTAGTCAGTTAGAAGTGAAGAAGCCTCTTGGATTAGGTGAAATGTCTTCAAGAGAACACCAGCAAGTCCACTTCTCTGTGTACGGGTGAACAAACCCTGCAGAAATCATGACCTGAAGGACTGAGCCTTCACAGATATGAAGCTCTTCTTATAACAACTGAGTTTAAAAAAACTGATTTGAGTCAGAACCTTGAGACAGAAGGCTGAAGATGGGTAACTTACCTCCGACAAGGTTATGTTTCCATGGGCATTTGATAGTTAGTCAGTTTGTTAGTATGAATTTCAATGTGGTTTCTTGACCTGGTGGGGGTATATGAGTGCCATTCTAGTTAGTGTAGTTGATTTAATTGAACCATGAGGCCAATATTTTGCTTTAATAAAAGAAAGGCCTGTTTAATGAAACCATGTTTGTTGACAAAAGGCAGACAAAGGGACCAGGAACAACAACTGCTGTGATGTGCTTGTAGATATAGTCGACATACATTATATATCATTGTCTATGCATCAGTGTCACGTATCAGCTGTTTCCTATTCTCGAGTGCGTGCGTCAAACTAGTCTTACCACTTACAATCTGATCGCTTCACAAACTCAGAGGTTACAAACACACAAGTATGCACCATTGCACTGACATCTGACTAATCACATTGTTAAGATTTGCAGGAATGTGATGAATGTTCCTTGTGTAGATGAATGTCAAAGTTCAGACCTACGAGACTGACGCTGTGAAACCTATTGTCAGATGTGTTGTCTGGTACAAAAAGCAAACCGTACATCCAGCATCCCTCTGTGTGTGTGTGTATGCCTGTTATCTCTTTGGGAACTTTTCCATCATTATCACTGACTTTGTCAGGACCAGTAGACCTCATGGGGACCAAAGCTCGGTCCTAATGAGGCAAAACATCATGTCTGAGGTCCTGGTTAAGGTTAGTGGTAAGATTTAAACCGTGGTTAGGTTAGGATAAGGTATTAATTGTTCCTGATTAAGGTTGGGGGTAAGTATAATATATACAATAGTT